GGTCCGGGGGGAGCGGCTGGCCGTGGCCAGTTAGCCACAGCCGGCGTCTCTCCCAGTCCCACCCCGTTGCGTTGCATGTCTAATCCATATGTTCAAATTAAATAATTGCACCTCATAAAAACACTACTGCTTAAATGCTGATGCAGCATTTGCAGGTTAAATGTTTTAATCACTTCTTACCAAACCATCACTGCAGCTGTAAATAAAACAAAATCCTGTCGAGGCATTTTGCTTGCAGACGTTATAGGTTGTTTTTAAGGAAAACAAGTCTAGTATTTGCATGCAAAAGCACTCTTGCTCTTCTAAATGCATGTTATAGGCATTGCTCTTAGTTGTATTGATCAGATGATTGAGAAGGTGATGTGCTAAGTGGCTGCTTCTTTACGCGGTGTGATTTGCAGTCACAGCTGCTTTGACTTGGCCTATAAATAGACCTATAATAGGAACTGTATAATTTGGCCTCCTGTCCTTAAAAGGTAGACCTAAACACAAGTCAGTTTGCCAGGTTAAGCCTTAATGCTGTTGTCTGCTTTTTTCCCAATAGCTCCATTTCTGATTTAGAATCAGTTCATCATTACTGAATGATGTGGAAGGAACTGTTTTGATTGCATTGGATAACAAAGCCAATAATGGTGCTTAATACAAAATGACTTTCCTTTTAATATAATTCTTCTAGACTAATTTTTAAATGAAAGCTAAAAAAATACTGTTGTGTGATCAGTCCTGTGTATGCACACCCTTTTTATTGAACCATGCTCCTGTCTAAGACAGTGAGTTCAATGGCAGCCGAGGATGTCCAACACAGCGTATGATCGGTACCATGGCTGTCATTATATCCTCTGCTTGGAGCCACGAAGCCATGCACTGAAAGATGGATAGCAGCAAGGCTCGTAGATGATCTGCAGCAGCAGCGGAGAGGGGGGCACACAGCTGATTAATGGCTTTGTCCTATATAATAAGACACGGTGGAGTGAAGCTGGAGGACCTCGATAAAAGTCCTGGAGATGCGATGCCTGTGAGTCCTCAGGACCGTGATTCAGGATGGTAGGAGAGCCACGCCACAGGGCACGGAGGAGAGGGCTTCGCGGGGCTCTCGGTGCTGGCAGAGCGCAGCCTCTGTGCTGTAGGTGGGACAATATTTTCCAAGTTCAACCATTTTGGGAAGTGAAGATCGGAGAGAGATGTTTCCAAACCCCTTCTAGCTTACCCCTATGGCATCTTATACCAGTCATTTAGCCACGGTTTAGGAGAGAATTGGGACATGTTGGGGAGCCTTTGGAGATGAAAGACCCAATTTGACAGTCCCCCAGTTCTGGCAAATGGCTTAGGGCTGGGGAGCTCTGGGAGGCGATGTGGCTGCTCTGGGGCTCACTGCTACCGTCTCCAGTTCAACCATGGCAGAGGGGCATTTCCCTTCCGTTCCTGGCCTTGGTCTCAGGGAGCGTTTGCTGCTGAGGAGGACAGGTAAGCAATGGAATCCTCCCTGAAGTATCTGGGAAATGAAGGAGGGTGAAATAAAGTGGTTAGTCCTGAAACTTGCATGTTTTAATGTAATTGACATTGATTTAACTGGTGCTTTTTTAAAAGACAACGTTCGATAAAAAATGAACCATCAATATCTTCCTTGCAGCTCCCTGTTACCGGTACTATCCCAAAATGCAGCCATTTTGAGGCAGCAGGAACCGAACCAGCGCAGGCCTGTTGCAGTGCCTTCCTCAGGCTCTGGAGGAGCGGAACGGGCGCCTGGGCCGCGCACCCCGGGGAGCAGCGGGAGCAGAAAGCACGAGGCTCGTTTGCCCAAGCCTCGTCGTCCTCTCTGTAATCCAGTTTACCGCAAGCTGCTCCTTGATTAAAATGAGCGCGGTGGTGGAGCAGGCAGACCCCATTCACGCCAAGGCCCACCATCCACGTTTGACGCGGTGCACCGGCAGATCAGATCCTCTATTTTTCCCTCCAACAAACGCCTGACCTGCAGTTCCTCTGAACCAGTGTGACAGATCTTCCTCAAGCGGAAAACCAACCCCTTGGCTGGAGGTATTTCATTTTTCAGATCTTCAGCGCTGAAAAACCAAATCATTGTCCTGTCATGCCTGTAATATTGCCTCCCATGGTTACAGCACATACCAGGCTTCGTAGCTAGGCAGAGAACAGGCCTGCATTTCTCCCCATAGACTGTCATAAAAGCCAATTAGGCTCTTACTTAATTTTCCTCCTTTTTTTCTCCCTTACGCACAAGGGGAAGCAGTTAAAAGTCTCCCCTAGCTACGTTATGTAAATCTTCAAGTAAATTCCCCCTGAATTGTAATTCAGTGGGTTTGTTGTTAAAAATGTCGCCTGACTCCAGCACATACACGAGCGGCATCCGGGGGAGGGTCACTCTTCAGAAGCACACGGTCTTACTAGATGTGTGTAGATGGGGGAGAAGCTCCTCAGCTCCTCCTGTAGCGTTACTTTGCGCCGAGGCAGCAGCATGTGTGTAGGCGGGTGAAGGCGAGAGTAGGAGGGAAGCGGTCACGGTCCAGACTATCCTGCTAATATTTATTCGGGCTCTAACCATTTCCCAGCCCAGGCTCTGTCTTGACTGACAGCTTTGGGGACAAGCAGAGCATCACATAATGCCTACGCTGGCAGATACGGAGCAGTCAGCCAGGAAGCAGTGAGGTGCAGAAATCAAATGAACCCTGTTCAAATTCAAACCTCTTCTTAAGCAGCTTTTGTTAATAAAGCCCCTCGGCATTACTACGTGTGGAAGAAAACACTAAAATAGTGGTATTTTTATTTTATATGCATTTGTATGCAATTGGTTTTCCTCTGCTCATTTTGTCATACCTAATGTGTGTCCCCTCCTATGGGATGTTACCGTTGAAATGTATGGGAGCTCAGCATACAAGAATTTGGCTTGGACCAGTCATATGTAGTGATGCTGTGTGCCCAGGTCCCTGGAGAATGAAGAAAGGGGGACCAGCATGAGCACTTTGGTGGGTAGGATGTATCTGTGGTGGGCTCCATTTTCTTTGCAGAAATCCTCACTGCTTTTGTAGGAGATGATCACAGGACCACCACATCCTTCCTCAGCAGTCTTCCCTCTCCTCTAACAGACTTGATACAACTCCATAGCTAGTTTCTAGCTGCTCAGATGTGACGAAACTTTCAGCTCCTGGTCTATGGAAATACTGTTTCCACACAGAAATGCAATCCAAAGATATGAGGTGATGCTCTGGTGCTGAATTCCAATGATGGAAAGGGATTTCAGCAAAAATTATTAGCAGCAGAAGTGCCAAAGCATCTTGGAAAAGGGTATTGCTGGTTTCCAGAGGCACAGAGAGACTGAATGCAGATCTGAACCTGCCTGAAGCTAACCCACAGATTCCGCTGAGATTCAGTTGTGGAGTAGCCTGATGTAATTCAGGTCAAAGACATCAGAAGTAATGAACACACAATTTCTTGCCTTGTTTGCTTTATGGTTTAATATATCTTTTTGCTAATCATAAGCTATAGGATACCTAATTATTCTGACCTCTGTTTTTAGAAAAAATTAGGTTGTATTTGTGGACTACTTTAAGCAGGAGCTTTCTGCTGGAGTCTGAGGATGGAATTTGAATAGAATAAAACAGAACAGAACAGAACAGTTCCAGCTGGAAGGGACCTACAAGTTTGGTCCACTGCGACAAATGCTTTGAGTTGGATTAGACCTAATGCCCTCCATAGGTCCTGTCCAGCATAGTTTATTCTAGGATTCTAAATGCTTTGAGAAATTTCTTGCAAAATGAGTGAAGACATGAATTCAAAGTGAAATGGGTATTTTGCAATCACTCCTTGATAGAAAAACTGTACTCTGCAATTGGGCCACCTGTTCAGCTAAATTTCATCCACTTTGAAAAGTAGATATGCACTCTGGGATGGAGTGGGTGTATCTGTGGGGGCAGCTACTGAGAAGCAACACCTCCAGGCTATTTCCCTGGATTGCCCCATGTATCCCCTATATCATACCATCCAAGTTCCTTGAGCCACACAGGCAGTAATAATACATTCCCTAAACTTGTGTGTGATTTCTTATCCCTCGTACCTCAAGGTAGTGAAGAACTGTGATGGTTCTTCTTCTACCCAGCCCCCAAAGCCTGAACAAAGCATTGAATGAACAGTTATTTGGCAGCAATGACTGTAGCAGCAGCTTTCTGTAGGTTATCTTAATGGATTTATCACCCTGAACTAAGCCCTGACCATCTGTTCTATCCTCTAATTACAGATGCAGAAAAAGCTAATCCACAATTGCATCATAAAAAAGTGAAATATAAGTGATTTAAGAGTGGGGCATGTCATGCTTCACGGTCTGATTGGGAGAAATCAGTCTCCCTTCAGTAGACTGATTTTTTTAGAGTTTACCTCTTTCCCAGCAAATGAGAATTCCTGAGGAGTAGGGCTCACCAGAACAGGTTTTATTCCTGCTCACTCATCTTAGATGTGTTTTAAGATTTGGGATTCACATATATGCAGCTATGAACCTTCTTTCCTTCTGTCTCAGATGAGCCCCAAAAGGTGTACTTTTAATGCATTTTCCAATCAGGGAAAGCACAAACTCAGTCCCCTAAATCTCTGCATTTCCTCCATCTCACTTTTCCTGTGATGAAGGTATGTCTGGCAGAGTCAATCACTCATTTTGTGCTGGTGGCTCATCTTCACTGCAATGCCCTTGGTTTGGAAGATAGGCAGAAAGCAGGGGGCTGAGTGCATGCCCTGCTTCTCATGAATGACCTTAAATTCTTTTGTACTGCCAACTGTCCCAGCCACCAGCAGTGATAATGGTTGAGCTGGGAGTTCAAGTTCTGATTCACTCATGTTGTGTGGATAAGGACTCCCGGCAACACCTGTCCTGTGTCCTCTGGAAATCTTGTACTAAAAAATGGATGCAATTGAACAAGTTAAGTTGAGGGGTCAAAAAGTAATACTTCGGTCCTCTC